CAATTTGTAGCTTGCTTCTTTTCATAGCTAGCCTGCAGGAATCTCAATCCTCCTACCTATATTTGGGGACCTTAAAACAGACCAGATATGGCTTGTACTCTCTAGGGGCTCACATTGGGATAAGGGAACAGGGGCCAAAGTGAGTGAGTGACGCATTAGAATAAGGTGACCTACTGTCCTGGTTTGCCTAGGATTGACAGGTCCATGTTTCAGGAAACCCCTCAGTCCCAGCTCAATCATGATGATTTCTAATTGATCACCCTGTTAGAAATAAGTCCCCCTGAATTAGACCAGTTCGGAGTTCAGAAGTCCACTGTAATTTATATATTGTCCTTTTAGCTAGACCTTTTTTGCCTCTCCCCACCTTTGTTTGCCCTAGGGTAGCTGTTTTTAAATTTTATAGACTTTAAAATTATTGCAGGGGCTGGGGATGTGGCTCAAGCGGTAGCGCCGCTCACCTGGCATGTGTGCAGCCCGGGTTCGATCCTCAGCATCACATACAAACAAAGATGTGTCCGCCAAAAACAAAAAATAAAATAAAATATTAAAAAATTCTGTCTCTCTCTAAAATTCTCTCTCTCTTTCTTAAAAAAAAAGATTTTAAAAAAATTATTGCAAACCCTGAAGAGCATTTGCTTATGTAAGTTATTTCTATTAATATTCAATGTTTTCGAAATTAAAACAGAAAGCCAGATATTGTGGCTCATGCTTATAATTCCAAAGTTGTAGGAAGCTGAAGCAGGAGGATCACAAATTCAAGGTCAGCCTCAGCAACTTACTGAGTCCCTAAGCAACTTAAGGAGGCCCTGTCTCAATATAGAAAATAAAAAGGGCTGGGGATGGTGGCTCAGTGGTAAAGCACCGCTGGGTTCAATCCCCAGTATCAACAGAAAAAAAATTTAAAAGAAAAATTTAAAACACAAATATACACAACACACATTTCAATAGTTATCAGGTGATAAATCATCACAGATCATGTAGCCTCTGGTATGCTCCACTGTATACTCATGAGAGAATGAGAGGGAAAAAAAGCAAATAGTATCTTAGTGCTTTTATAAAATCATTTTGACCTAATAGACCCCCTGAAAGGATATTAAGACTCTGGCCCCAGAGGGCTTCCCAGACAATGCAGAGAGCAACTGCTCTCCAGAGAAACATCTACCAGGAATTCAGAATACACCCTTAACTTCTAGTCTTAAAGTTCATATTTGTTACAGGTAACATGAAGGAAATTTGTAACCTTCTGAGTTCAGCCACTCATCCTATATGCTATAGTTTCCGTATAGATAGAATCTACACATATTTTTATTTTTAATTTTTTTTATGTGTGGTGCTGGGGATTAGAACCCAAGGCCTTCTATATGCAAGGCAAGCACTTTGCCAACTGAGCTATATTCCCAGCCCTTTAATTTTTACTTTTTAGTTTCTTTTTCTTTTTTTATTGGTGCATTATAATTATATAAAAGTGGGATTTGTTATAATATATTCATACGTGCACAGAATAAAACAGTATAGTTTGATCAATTTCATTCCCCAGTACCCCCACTTTCCCTCCCCTCCTTCCCCCTAATCCCTTTTCTCTATTCTACTAGTCTTCCTTCTATTTTTTTCTTTTATTTTGTTTTTAATTTGTTATAATTAGTTATACATGACAGTAGAATGCCTTTTGACACACTGTACACAAATGGAGCACAACTTCTCATTCCTTTGGCTGTACGTGGTGTAAATTCACACCAGTAGTGTAATCGTACATGTATATAGGGTAATGATGTCTGTCTCATTCTACTGTCCTTCCCATCCCCACAGCTCCAACCATCCTCTCACTCCCCTCTGCACGATATATTTTATTTTTATTATTTATTTATTTATTTTGGTACCAGGGATTGAACCTAGGGGCACCAAACCACTGAGCTACATCCCCAGCCCTCTTTTGTATTTTATTTAGAGACAGGGTCTCACTGAATTGTTTAGGGCCTCGCTAAGTTGCTGAAGCTGGCTTTGAATTTTCCATCCTCCTGTCTCAGCCTCTGAAACTGCAGGGATTACAGGTGTGAGCCACAACTCCGGGCACATCTCTACATTTATAAACCTTACAATACAGTATGATAATTTTTGCTTTAAGGCTTTTTATGTATTTTAAAGACCTTGATAAGGAAAATGTATTTTACATTCACCTACAAATTTACTTCTTTATTCCAGCCTATGGCTCTGCTCTTCCATCTAGCATCATTTCCCTTCAGCCTGAAGAACTTTATTCAGCATTCTTCACAGTGCAGGTCTGCTGCTGACAAAATATGTGGATTTATTTCATCTTCATATTGGAAAAATATCTTCACTCGAAAAGAAACTTGGCTGCCTTTTTTTCTTTCAGCCTTTTAATGATGTTATTCCACTGTCTCCTAGTCTGCCTAGTTGTTGATGACAAGACAATGACATTGAAAATATTCCTCTCTGTTTTGTTGTGTGTCCTTTTTCTCTGACTACTTTCAAGATATTTTCTTTATCTTGCTTTTTTTTTTAAGTTTGACTATGATATGTCAATGTGTGCTTTTTTTATTTTTTACTTTCAACTCTGCTTTGGGGTTACTAAGATTCTTGAGTCTAAAAATACGTATCTCTCACTAAAATGAGAGAAAATTCAGTCATTGTTTCTTTGAATATTTCTTCTGCATCATTCTCTTTCTCTCTCTCCTGAAATTCCAAGAAAACACATATTTGGTGTATTTTTTTTTATATTGTCTAAAGGTTTCCTGGAACTTCTGCTCTTTTAAAGAATATTTTCCTCTGTTGGTCAGAGGAAAGTTCACTGACTCTTCCTTCTGCCATCTCCACTCTTCTGTTACGTGTGTGTGCTTCCAGTAGGCTATTTACTTAAGCTACAAACTGTCTTGAGATAAACAATAGCTCAAATGTAAGTTCAGATCTTTTCAGCTTAGTGGAGTCTGTTCCATGCATGCATTATTTAGAGAAGCAAAGGTAGAAATATCTGATACACTCAAGCCGCTTCCAGCCTGGTTATGAGCCAAGCATCACACAATGAGAGGAAACCCACTTTTAGAGGTTGGAGCTCGAGGGAGTGGCTCAGAGGCCCAATGCTACAACCTTCACAGCCTATTCTAGCATCCACCTGTGGCCCCAGAGAGATCAAAGTGAGCAAAAGCTGCTGGTGATGAAATTAAGGAAGGAGTGCCAGTTCTCCCTTGGTCCTGCTCCGTCCCCACAGCTCTAAAACCCACATCATCAACTTCTCATCTTTCCTATCTCCCCACCCAGACATGGACAAGTGTGCCATCCTGCACTGCCAGCCCTAAAAAGCCTGTGTCTGCATCTATGCCCATAATTACTTAGGTAGCTATTCTGCTTCTCCTGCCCAGGCTAGAAACCAGAGAGCAACAGCCACTTCTGTGTCCCTGCAAGCTGGAGAAGAAGCCTAGGTGCAGGGGAGGTGGTGCTGCAAACAGGATAGAAGCACAGTTGTAGGCCTCACACCAGCTACACACAGCTGTCAGGCTCCATCTCCAGGGCCAAGTCCCTGGAGACTGGACCCTGGACTCCAACACCCTGCAGCCACACCACTTAAGTGAGAACAAAGCAGATCCTCATATTCAAGTTGTCAGATTCACCCAAACAGGGACCCATACATCTAGCCCCAGACTGCCACAGTCACCGGCTCTAGGGATGTCACTGTCTCTTTCTCTTTTGGCTTCCTGTCCTCTTTCCATCCAGCACTTTAACCCCTGTCCATGAAGGGGCAGCCAATGTCCTGGTTTTCCCAGAACTTGCTTTGTTATAAAACTGAAAACCCAGGAAGCCCCTCAGTCACATGCACATCAGGACAGCTGGGCCTCCTATGTGCTCTGGAGCCTCCTTTAAAGGCCTTTTTCCTCATTTCCTCCAGAACATCTCCAGGGAAGTCCTCTCATACCTGCTAAACTAGTATTCCAGTCCCCACCCCTCTTAGGAATAGCTCAGGAACCGAGGATAGTTCTGACCCTCCCTGATTTTTCGGGGGGAATAAGCCCTGACCTGAGCCACACTGGTTTCTCCCCAACAGGTGGGTTGTGGGATTGGAACCTTGAGCACCCCATGAAAGCAACTCTGGATTTCCAACTGCTATATGTGATCCTAAGAGTTAGATGACAGAGTGGGTTTCAGTGCTTTGGGGGGGAGGAAGAAATCGCAGCCAGAAGGGCCTGTTCCTCAAAAGATGAATTCTGGAGATCATCCCCAGGTGTATTTGGGGTTGGGACGTGGTGCACAGGGTAGAGTAGATTTCTAGACTTTGCCTGGGACATCAGGTATGACTGACCATCTCTGCCATCCCCTTATAGCTATGGACTGTGGCTCTTTCAAACCTTTTTAATCTGGAAAAACCAAACATCCAGAACATACCCTGTTAGGGTTTATAACTTGCTGCCTTTGTGGAAAGCCAAGTTACTAAAAGTAAAATGGAAGAAACAGTAGATTCTTCTCAGACAAGTATGTGTCTAGACCTTTCATACAATTGCTTCCTCTGAGGACTAGACCACCTACCTCCACAAGGGCTTCCTGGCCCACTGCCAAGCCATGAGTGACAGTCCTTCCCGGGAGTGTAGTGAGAGAGCCTCTGACCCCAATTGTCCTCTTGTATCTGCTTAAGAAATTTGAAGTGACAGCTGAGCTGATTCCTAGGGATGTGGGGATACTTGAGCTCGCCTGTGGCCCTGACCATGGTAGATAAGGAACTTCCAGAGGTTATGGGAGGATTTAAAAGACTATATAAGCCAAGCAGCAAACACCTGTAATTCCAGTAACTCAAGAGGCTGAGGCAGGAGGATCACAAGTTCAAGGCCAGCCTCAACAATGTAGCAAAACCCTGTCTCAAGATAAAAATAAAAAACCGCTGGGGAGTGAGCTCAGTGGTTAAGTACACATTAGTACCAAAAATAAATAAATAAAATAAAAGATGATGTAAGTCAAATGACCCCAACCCATCTTTGGTGAAAAGGGAGAGGAAAAGAATGTTCAAGTTCATGGGTCACAGGTTCTCCAAGCTGCAGGATGTTAATGTAAGTGAGTGGGAGGGAGAGAGATGACTAGTTAAAGGCTCAAGCCATCATACCACATGTGATACACAAACAGTAAAAATTAGTTTTTACTGTGTACAAAAATTTTTTTTAAAAGTGTCAAAAGGTGGTGCCCTCCACTCTGATGCCTGAAGGCCAGCATGGTTTTGGAGATTGTTTTTCCCAGTTGTGGTGGATGAGCTATTGGACAGCAGGTGGCACTCAACCCAGAGAATTAGAAAAAGGGAACTAGTTACTCAACTCATTTCCAGTAACTTCTCCCTCCTCCCCACAGGGCCTTCTCCAGCCCCACCTCCTGTTCCCTGGCCTGGGCCAAGTCCTCTAGCAGGTTCCAGATGTCTGGTCCCAGAGTTGGGGAGCTATCTCTGGAGAAGCCCTCCCTCCACAAGCTGCCCAGGCAAGATGTGAGTGTGCCCTGGAGAGAGGCCTGGAAGAGGAAAAGGGTGAGGAGAGGGGGGATAGGACAGGGGATAGGACACACGCAGCCTATGTACACATAGCCCACGCACACACGCACAGAGCAGTTAGTCCAGAGGGAACTGGAGTTTGCTTATGGCCTCTAGCAGCCTTCTTCCCTGGAGCTGGTCAGGCTTAATGCTCTGAACAGGAAACATTTAAATGTCCCCCTCTTGTACCCTCATTGCTGCTTCAGATCCGGGCAGAAGGCAGCCCTTCTGCAGATGAGACTCTCCAGGGAGAGGAGCAATGGCAATGTCCTCAGAGGGTGGAAAACTGAGTTCTGCAGCTCAGGCTGAATGGGAGGCTGTAGGAATTGGGTGGGGAAAGGGTAATAATGAGGGAGTAGACAGGAAGTGGCCAGGCCTCAAAGGCCGAGGCCAAAGTTACTGGCCCTGCCTTTGCCACAGGCCTTCCTATTCCTTATTGTCACTTGGCCATGGATATATGTTACCTTCATAAATCCATGGCCTCCCCTACTCACAGATGCTGGCTCCTCCTCTGGGGAGTCCTCCAGTCTTACCCCACACAGGGCTCTGTGCCCTTGGCCTAGTGACTCCCCAAGGAGATGACATCTCCTGGGTACCCAAAGCCATATCTTAAAGGCCAAGAGAGCAGCACTGAGGCTCCAGAGGGTTTTACTGTGAGGTTAGTCTTCCAGGACTTCGACTTGGAGCCATTTCCAGAAGGGGATTCTGTCACAGTGAGCTCGGGGAGAGGGCTTTCAGGGACCCTGGTGAGGGAGACTCCCAGGGGCAGTGGGAGGTGAATCTGCCCTGAATCGCCCATCTGGGGGGGCGGGGGGGATGAAGAGTGCAAGTCGGGGAAGTGGCAGTCTACCCAAAACATGGCTTCCTACCAGTGTCTCTGTCCCTGGCTACTATGGAGTGCTGGAGGACAAAAGAGAAAGTGGCAGAACAGGTCTTGCATTTTAGACTTACAAAAGGAAACATAAACATTGCAGCTCTAGAGGAAAAGGTCAAGGACTCACACATCAGCCATTGTTGAGTCCCTGGGAAAAGGGAAGATACCCCAAGACTGGGTGAAGATACCCCAAGACTTCTTAGGGCATGGGCATTATTCAGAATGAGGACATTTTTAGAATAGTACTTTATATTGTCTTTTGGCTTAAATTTTGTTTATATCAAAATAAAACATGCACATAATTTTTTTTTTTTTAAAAAAAGCAGGGTCTTTCAAGGCTTCTAATGAGAAATAGCAGTCTGCAGTCTACTCCTCTCGCCCCCTTTTAAATGCTGCTCCCCAGGAGCAATCCTTTCCAATTCATGTAAGGGTTTCATTTGGTATTTACCTTCATATATATGAATAATGCTTATTATATTATGCATTGTTCATTTTCAGTCTGTTACTTTTCAATTTTAGTCTATTATTCATTTTTCATTATTTCTCATTTCCTATTAATTCCAACCATAGAAAATAAGGACTGGTTTTATCTTTCTTAGTCCTTCACCATCCACATTTCCCTTGCCCGATTTTCCCAGTTTATCAATGTTATCATTATTAGTTGAATCTATACTTATTATTTCACATTTGTGCACATAGTATTCAGTAATTATATTTCCTTCTCTAACTTTTGGGTTTCCCAGGAGTCAGTAATGACATGGAGTTCTCTAAGGGCGGGAAGGTTGTTGGGTTTTGTTTCAATTTTTAGTTTGCTTAGTTCTCCCTGTAACTAATTTCTTCCAAACTCTTATCCAGGAATGTACAGCTTTTCTCAAAATACTGAGGCACAAGCTGGGCGCCGTGGCACCCGCCTGTGATCCCAGCAGCTTGGGAGGCTGAGGCAGGGGGATAGCAAATTCAAAGCCAGAGTCAGCAACTTAGTGAGGCCCAAAGCAACTCAGGGAGACCCTGTCTCTAAATAAAGTATTAAAAAGGCCTGGGGATGTGGCCCAGTGGTTAAGTGCCTCTGGGTTCAATTCCCAGTACCAAAAAAAGAAAAAGAAAAAGAAAGTGTGGCCTTTGAGTGCCAGAGAGGTGCAGACCTTCTAGGTGGGACTGGAGTCACACACCAACTAACCCAGAAGTGACCCTGTGTCCAACAGTGGTGCAGACTCACTGCATACTTACCCGACCTCTCACTCCTCCGTGTCTTCCTTTCAGATCTCAGCTAGTAGGATGGATCTGAGCCAGCTCTGTGGTAAGCAGGGCTCCTCTCTGGGCAGCCCCCCTGGTCAGGGGGAGTTTGTGTCCACAGGGAGGAGATTTCGGCTGACCTTCCGTGCACACACTTCCTCCAAAGACAAGACCACCCATCTCCACAAGGGCTTTCTGGTCCTCTTCCAAGCTGTGGGTGAGTATCCCTTCTTGGGTGCAGGGAGAGAGCCTCTGTCCCCAGCTATGGTCCCGGTGTTGTAGGACAGATGAAGCTGGACACTGAGGAATCAGCAGGAAGCAGTATTGGCTGTAGCCCAGGTCCAGAGGAAGGCTTTCACCTAAATCAGTTCATTTCTCTGAACCCAAAGTTCAGAAATGTTTAAAACTTTATACCCAGTGTATAGGGGGAGGGGGAGCTCAGAGACTCACAATCTGCAGAAGTCCACATAAAAGTAGGTTTTTTTCTATTGTTCTAGGCAATCAACCCAAGCCTGGATACAAAAATAACTCTAGGACACTCTCTGTGAAAATCAGTGCCTGGGAAAGGGACAGTTGCCTCCCCTTCTCCCTCCCCACACCCCACCAGCTGGTTTTTCCAAGGAACCTAATTAGCACCAGCACCATCTACTCATCTACTCTTTTGGACACCCCTCACTCCCCCACCTCTCCACACCCCCACCCCCACCCATGGGGGCATAGGCTTGTAATCCCAGGGGGTCTCCGAGGATCCAGTTCAAAGCCAGCCTCAGCAAAAGCAAGAAGCTAAGCAATTTAGTGAGACCCTGTCTCTAAATAAAATACAAAATAGGGCTGGGGATGTGGCTCAGTGGTCAAGTGCCCCTGAGTACCCTCCCCCCCAAAAAAGACTTTCCCCAGAATCTAACTACTTTCCTTTGAAATGTAAACAGCCCTGTGAAGGCTTCCTGGCTAAGGCTAGAGGCTGTGTTAAAGGGGCCTGTGCTTCCTTCATCACACTCTGCTTTTGTAAACACACTTTCCGCCTAAAAACTCTTACAATCATATGTAATTTTAGACTAGAGAATTTACTACACTAGATAGCCCATAAATGTTGTGAAAAACTAGTAAAGGGGTTCTCAACATCTGGAGTGCTGATCTCCTCCGGGCCCACAAGATAGTTACGACAAGATAGAGCAACAGGAAATAGGAAGCTTCACCACTTTTGAAACTCTTTTGCAGAAATTCTTGCTGATAGTCTAAGAACAATTATGGTGAGGGTCTCTGGAGAAGCTTAATTAAAATTTTCTGTGGAGTAGGGGGTGCCACTATACTGGTATCTTGAAGGGACAAGTGGAAACTTGAGTGACTGCTGAGGCTAGGGGTTCAGGGACATCTGGGCGGACCCCATCCTTGACCCTACTAGCAAGCAGTCCAATTAAGAGGAAATCATTGCTTAGCTCCAGCCATTGTTTCCAGGCAGATTTACAGTCCCAGTATTTACAGATCAAGAGAAGCCAAAAAGAGTTTTAAGTAAAATTCTAGATTTTTCAAATGGCGACTCAGACTTTTTTTTTTTTTTAAGTACTTCCATGTGTTAAATTAAAAGGCAAAAACACAGTAGATAGTGTGATAAGTGTTCCTCTGATCTCTGGCCCTTAGGTCCTGGTTACTTTCTCCAGAAACAACTTTGCTTTCCGTTTCCTGGGTATTCTTCCAAAATATTCTATACACTTTGAAGATACATTGTGTGTATGTGTGTTACATACTAAATACAATGTTCTAAATTGTTTTTTCACTTGCTATATCTTTCTTAAAAATTATTTAATTATTTAGTTAGTTAGTTAGTTAGTTGTCAAGGGACCTGCATTTTATTTATTTATATGTGGTGATGAGAATCAAACCCAGTGCCTCACACACGCCAGGCAAGCCTTCTACCATTGAGCAACAACTCCACCCTCTCACTTGCTATATCTTAACAATCATTCCATATGCATAGGATTAGCATTGACTCATTCCTTTTTAATGATAACAGAATATCCCTTTGATTGACATGTCATAATTATTTAATCAGTTCTCTGCTGATAGATATTTTGCTGCCATAAACAGTGATGATGTGGATAGCCTTATATATACATTTCTGAGTGTGTGTAAGAGAGCATCTTTAAGTCTTAGAAATTGAAATGGTCAGTCAAAAAAGACTTGCATTTTTATTTTTGGTATTGTTAAATTCCCCTCCATAAAGGTTTTACTGATTTACACTCTCACCAACCATGTTTGGAAGTCTCTGTCTCCCCCATATCCCACTTAGCCTTAGTTATTTTTGAAGTCTTTGCATGTTGACAATCAGTTAATAAGAACTAGCTCAATTTTTTTTTTGGGGGGGGTACTGGGGATTGAACCCAGGTGTGCTCTACCACTGAGGTACATCTATAGCCCCTTTTTATATTTTATTTTGAGACATGGTCTCACTAAGTTGCTGAGGCCAGTCTCAAATTTGCCATCCTTCTGCCTCAGCTTCCAGAGTTTCTGGGATTACAGGTATGTGCCATGGCACCTGGCCTTCGAATACTTTTTTAAAAGCACTGTTCAAGTCAAACAAAATATAGTTATGGCTAGAACCAGCTCCTGAGTTGCCACTTTGCAAGTCTGTGTGAGGCCTAATGACAGCTATTTTCCTATAGTTGTGAGCTGCAGTCAGCCCATCAACCAGGCCAGTGGAGGCTCTGAACCCATCATTGCACCGGGAGCCAACTCCTCCAAGATCCATAGACACTGCCAGGAACCCTATTACCAGGCAGTGCCAGCGGGTGAGTCCCCATCTGCTGAATAAGCAATTTCCATCTGCCTCACTCCCACCCAAAGACCTACTAAGGCCCTCGAAGGACCTAATCTGTTAGCCTGACACCTTCCAGTTCTGAGTCTGCTTCTTTGCTCCCAACCCCCATTTTGCTCCTCAGGGACACTCAGCTGCCCATCCTGGGGGACCTGGAAGGACAGACAGGATGGGGTGGAGATTCCTCAGTGTGTACCTGGTGAGTAGTTACCTGCCCAGTGCTGTTCTCATGGTCATTCCCAAACAAGCCTCAGCTGTAACTTGACCTGTGGGACACAGGGTACTAAAGGAAAGCCTTGGGGTGGAAAGGGGAGATGAGAGTAGATGAGCATGGTGGTGCTCGCCTGGAATCCCAGGGCCTTGGGAGGCTGAGACTGGAGGATCACAAATTCAAAGCCAGCCTCAGCAGTTTAGTGAGGTCCAGATCAACTTAGGGAGATCCTATCGCAAAACAAAAAGGGCTGGGGATGTGGCTCAGAATTTAAGTGCCCCTAGGTTCAATCCCCAGGACCACAAAAAGAGAGAGAGAGAGAGAGAGAGAGAGAGAGAGAGAGAGAGAGAGAGAGAGAGAGAGATGTGAGAACAGAAGGTGAGGAGGAAATTAGGAAGGCCCAGAAAAGAAGAGCCAAGGAGCTTGTCCCTTATTCTTCAAGGGTCAAAGTATGTCTGAGAAAAGAAAAGCACAAGAGGATAATCAGTTGGGTGAGTGAATAAGGAAGAAAAGGAAAGTTGAAAGAAGAGAAAATTCTCTTTGTATGTATTTAAGGGTACAGACAGGCTTTCTGCCTGCCCTCCCAAAATCTTCCTGCCTAGATGCTGCACTGTGGCAGACGTGTGTGAGTGTGTGTGTGTGTGTGTGTGTGTGTGTGTGTGTGTGTGTGTGTTGGGAAGGGTGCCAAGCTTCAAGCCCAGGACCTTGCACATGCTAGACAAGTGCTCTAACCAGTAAGCTATGCCCTAGCCCTCTACCTTTTTTTTTTTTTAACTGAGACAAAATTCACCATTTTAACCATTTTGAAGTGTACAATTCAGTAGATTTTGTAAAAACAATACCTCTAATTCCAGAACATTTCCACCATCCTCCATCTGAAAAACCCAGTATCTCTAACTCTCTGTTCCTCCATCCCCTGGAAACCACTCATCTACTTTCTGTCTCTGTAGATTTGTTTATTCTGGACATCTCATTCAAGTAGAATCACACAATATGTGTCTGGCTTCTCCCACTTAGTAGAATGTTTTCAAGGTTCATCAATGTTATAATATGTATACTTTGTAGCAGTACTTTATTCTTTTTCAGGGGACAGTGGTACAGGGGGGGTTGAACTCGGGAACACTGGACCACTGAGCCACATCCCCAGCCCTATTTTGTATTTTATATTTTGTATTTTATATTTTGTATTTTATATTTTGTATTTTATATCAGGGTTTCACTGAGTTGCTTAGTGCTTTGCTTTTTCTGAAGCTGACTTTGAATTCAGGATCCTCCTGCCTCAGCCTCCTGAGCTGCTGGGATTACAGGCGTGCACCACTGTGCTCCACAGGGGACTTCATTCCTTTTATACTTTTTTTTCTTTTTTGATACCAGGGATTGAACCCATGGGTGCTTAATCACTAAGCCACATCCCAGCCCTTTTAATTTACTTATTTAAAGACAGGGTCTCACTAAGTTGCTTAGGCTGGCTTTGAATTTCCTCCTGCCTCAGCCTCCTGAGCTGCTCTTATTACAGTTGAGCACCACCATGCTATGCCCTCAGCCTTTTTATAGTTAAATAATATCCATTTGTGCCTATATACCACATTTTATTTATCCATATATCAACTGATGGGCATGTCATGTGGATTATTTTCACTTTTTAAAATTTTTTGTAGTTGTAGATGGACAGCATGCCTTTATTTTATTTGTTTATTTTTATGCAATGCTAAGGATCAAACCCAGTGCCTTACATGTGCTAGGCAAGTGCTCTGCCACTGAGCTACAGCCCCAGTCCCTTCTTTCCACTTTTGCCTATTATGAATAATACTGATATGAGTGAAGTGGCTGGATCATAAGATAATTCCATCTTTAACTTTTGGGGGAACCACCAAACTGTGTTTCATAGCAGCTGCCACATTTTACATCTCACCAGCAGCAATATGAAGGTTCAAACCCATCACTTGTAATTCACCTTTGTTTTTCCAGTACTGGGGGTGGAATCCAGGGGTACTTTACTACTGAGCCACATACCCAGCCCTTTTTATTTTTTATTTTGAGACAAGGTCTCACTAAGTTGCTCAGAGTCTCACTAGATTACTAAGGCTGGCCTTGAACTTGAGATCTTCCTTCCTCAGCTTCCCAAGTTGCTGGGATTACAGGTGTGCACCACTGCACCTGGCCACATTTTCAACCAAAGCATTACCTTCCAAATCCAATAGGATCCACAGAAAACCATAGGGCAAGGCTGAAGTTTCCTGCTCAGGGAGTGGGTTGGAGGACAGAAGATGCACATGATATAAATTAGAAAATGACATAGAAAACAGGCAAGAGGTACTAAAGACAAACTCTGCTGGCACCATGATATGGCCCAGAGGTAGTCCCACCAAGAGTCTAGAGGAATGGCTTAAAGATGGCCGAGGAGGCAGGAAAGGGAGCCCCACAGAGTCAGTCCCAAAAGTGCTCATCCAGGCTCCCCACCTCTCAGTCCACTGTCCTGAGTCCCATACAGGTTATGTGCCCAGTAGTGTCGGAGTTGACTCACTGCTTCCGTCAGTCCCTGTGGTCTACACTCATGGGTCTGTGTCATGGTAAGGTCCTGATCCCATGCAGAGCCATACCTGGGGCCTTCTTTCTGCATCCACCACAACACTCACAGAGCAGCGCTGTAATCCATGTGTCTGGTAGCAGGGCTGATTGTTCCCTTCTCCCTCTCTCTCTCCCAGTCTGTGGACAGCCAGTCACCCCCATTGCCCAGAACCCAAAGATCCTGGGTTCTTCCAAAGCTAAACTGGGCAACTTCCCCTGGCAAGCCTTCACCAGCATCTATGGACGTGGGGGCGGGGCCCTACTGGGCGACAAATGGATCCTCACTGCTGCCCACACCATCCAGCCTAAGGACAGCATCTGCCTCAGGAAGAACCGGAGCGTGAATGTGTTCCTGGGCCACACAGACATAGCCAAGATGCTGAAAGTGGGGAACTACCCTGTCCGCCGGGTCTTTGTGCACCCAGACTACCATCAGAACGAGTCCCACAACTTCAATGGGGACATCGCCCTCCTGGAGCTCCAGCACAGCGTCCCCCTGGGCCCCAACCTCCTCCCAGTCTGTCTGCCTGATAACGAGAGCCTCTACCTTGATGGCCTGTGGGGCTACGTCAGTGGGTTTGGTGTGGAGATGGGCTGGTTGACTGAGGAGCTGAAATACTCAAGGCTGCCCGTAGCTCCAAGGGAGGCCTGTGAGGCCTGGCTCCGGGAGAGGCATCGAACTGAGGTGTTTTCTGACAACATGTTCTGTGTTGGGGATAAGATGCAGATGAACAGTGTCTGCCAGGGGGACAGTGGTAGTGTCTATGTGGTGTGGGATGATCGAACCCATCGCTGGGTGGCCACAGGCATCGTATCCTGGGGCATTGGGTGTGGCAAGGGGTACGGCTTCTACACCAAAGTACTCAACTACGTGGACTGGATCAAAGGAGTGATGGACAGCAAGGACTGACCCTGGAACAATTGAGCAGTGACCAGTCGACACTGTGGAGGTTGCAGTCAAGAGAGGGTTGGGGATGAGGACGGAGCCCTGGAGGGAGAAGCAGAGAACCCCTATTTAAGTCATTGATGCAGTCAGCACATGGGAGAGAAATCCTCTCCCATCAACCTAAACCATCCCAAACAGGAAGCAGCACCCCACAGCCCCCTTCTCCCCACCCTCTACCTTCTTGCATGTTTGCACCAGGGAAGCAAGCTCTGGACATCTCTCAGCACTCACCGTGCATGTCTTTTTTTTTTTTTTTTTTTTTTTTTAATTGGTTGTTCACAACATTACAAAGCTCTTGACATATCATATTTCATACATTAGGTTCAAGTGGGTTATAAACTCCCATTTTTACCCCAAATACAGATTGCAGAATCACATCGGTTACACATCCACATTTTTACATAATGCTTTGGCATCCCTTTCCTGTGCTTCATCTGCTGATGCAGCCTCTCCTGTAATCACCTATGGACAAGTCACCTTCTCATCCCTATTCAGAGGAAATATGGAGGAAGGGGTCTAAATTGCAATTTTGTGAGGATCACGAATTTGAAGCCAGCCTCAGCAATTTAGCAAGGCCCTAAACAACTCAGTGAGACCCTATCTTTAAATAAAATATTAAAAAGGGCTGGGGATGGGGCTCAGTGGTCAAGCACTCCTGGGTTCAATCCCCTGTACCCCCCTCCCAAAACTGCATTTTTTTTCTGAACTATCCCAAAGACCCTTTAATTGACCTTCAAATATTCAAGCTATGGGCTTCATCACCTACTACAACTCCTAGATGTAATTATCAAAATATCCCCTTTTTTATTTGACGTCTTCTCTATGCCAGGTGCTTCACATGTTATTTTACTTAGTCCTCACACTATTTTTGCAAAGAATGTGCTATTATCCACATCTTACAAATGAGGAAGCTGAGGTTCAGGGAGCTACGGTGACCTGTGTTAGTCCCACAGCTGGTGTTTGACTGCAGAGGCTGTGCTCCTTCGGGATGCCAAGATCCTCCCAGTTCTCCTCAAGACCTACCACATCACCCCCTTCCTTGTTCCGGTCCCTACATCCTCACAGATTCTCCCTCCCTGAGAGGCCTTGCTTCTATGTAGATGGCATCACCTGCTCACACTTCCTGCTGGCCTGTCCCATGCAAACACCTAGGTGAGCCTGGTGCTGGATTGGAAGTTCCTGCAGACAGCCTGGTTGGTGCTCCTCTCATCATGAAGGTACAACTACCCAGAGAAGACCAACTCTTTAATTTTTAGTAATGGTTTGTGGTGCTTTATAGTGGAATACAAAAAGTAAAATACAACTATTCAGTGGAAATAGAAAATGAATCACATAAAACAGAGAACAAATTTGTTAGTGTTGAAAGTCAAGTTCCCATATGGTCAAAGGTTATATTTATCCTGGCAAAACAGCAGGATTCAAAGTTGTACATACATATAGTTACTTCTGCTTCTATTTTATAAACCTATAGGCAGTACAAAAGACAATAAAAATATTCTCAGGTGGGCATGGAGTCCCATGCCTTTAATCCAAACTACTGGAGAGGCTGAGATAGGAGGATAAGCACCTCAGGCTCGATCCCCAATACTAGGAGAAAAAAAAAACTCAAAATATTAAACAGAAAAAGAAAAAAATAAATAATCAGAGGTGTTTTGGGTGATATGATTTTGGCTGTTCATTTCTCCTCCATTCTGTATTGGCTAATTTTTTTTTATTTAGGGAGCATGTGTCATTTTTATTTATTTCATTTTACTTATTTTTTTTAGTTTTTTATTAAAAATAATATGAGTTTCTCCCTACCATGGCAAAAATAGATATCTATATTCATGTGGGAATGTCTAGATCTGTATCTATTTATATCTCTAAATGTAGATTTAGGTCTATGTCTAGCTCCAAATCTATACATATAAAACTATAACTAAAGATGGTGAGGATGATCCAAATCTAGAGAAATAGATATGGATGATGAATTATAGAGATATAAACACAGCAAACCTACCATTATTTTAAGAAAGAAACTTTTTTGTGGAGCACAGTGACATATGCTTATAATCTTAGAGACTGGGGAAGCTGAGGCAAGAGGATCATAAGTTCAAGGCCAGCCTCAGCAACTTAATGAGACCCTGCCTCATAGTAAAAAAATTAAAAGGGCTGGGGATGTAACTCAGTGATAAAGTGCCCCTGGGTTCAATCCCAGTACCAAAAAGAAAAGAAAAGAAAAAGAAAGAAATTTATTTCCTCTAGAACCAAGTCCTAAAAGGAATGAACAATATAATAATATCTTAAATAAATGCAGGCACAATCTTCATCTGGCTTTTTCTTCTATTGTTGGTATATGGTAAAGGCATACCAAAAACATGTAAGTAATGGTTATTTTGAACAGGTAGGCAGAGTGGAGGTGGGGCCTAAGTGGATAAGGTCCAGGTTTGTCATTTTCCAGTCATATTGCATGACAGAACAGAACTCAGAACCCCTAGGATGTTACATGACACCAAGACAGAAATCGGAATTCCTAGGGTGGATGAGAAAATTTCAGCTAAGACTTACCTCTTATATTGTTCCCTCCTCACCTGTTCTCCCTGCCCCCATTATGAACATAACACACACACACGCACACACTGCTATTAGGATACTATTGTGCAATTACAATTGTAATTATGATAGACAAAAATTCCCCTTTCTCCTCATGTTCTGATCTGGTCCATCTCCTTCTCCCTATCTTCTGTCTTTCCTGATTGACAGGTCCATAGATCATGTCATTATTAAATCAGCCCTGCTACCAGATTCAGTTTTCAACTCCAACACATAAGCCTGGTGTGTAAAGCCTCTAAACCTTAGTTATTCTTGCATTTTCCATGTGCCTGCTCTCTAACTGCATTTGGTAATGACTTGATCACTGCCAAATGGGCAACTGGCCCATCTTGGTGAGCGCTTGCAATCCACTGTCTGGCAAAATGCTTAGCACATTAAGTAGGTAACCCGTAAAGGATGAGTAGGTGGGCAGGCAGATGGATGGAGTGATGGAGAAGTCAATATCATAAGGAAAATAAGCAGGACAGCCTACAAAGGTATAGGAACTGGGAGGGCTGCTCTGCAGGCTGAGCCTCCTATGGGACACGGTACTACAGGGTATTTGGAGCCATGAAGAGTTAATGACAAAAGACTCCCCCAAAGAGCAAAAATTGAAAACAGTACACCATGTCCTGGTGGACAGGAGAGCTATCCCAGAGGCCAGGCTTCCTCTTGAAAAAGACCAAGTCACTCTTGCTCTGCAGCCACACCCTTTTGCTTAAGCACTAAGCAACTGTAATCATCAGGACTCAAACTTGACCAGATGCTGAGGAAAGAGAACTTTTCTTGCCCCTCCGAAGCTATCCCCATTTTTCTAAGAGGAAAGTTGGCAAGCCTGTGATCACTGAGGTGGGAGGGAGGATTTCACCACCTAATACTGCTTTAGGGTCACCTGATATAATAACCCTCCTTCTCCACCTAAGTGTCATTCATGAGTAAAAGAGGCCAGGGCCCCAACACAACCAAACCCATTTCCCTCTGGCCACTCCTACAGGCCCTCCCCTACACCACTGTTCCTGTCACTTCATTCCAGGCATTTAACCCTGAGTGCTCCTGGACAAGGGCTGATGGGTGAATAAGGACAGGAAGAACAGGGTCAATAGAAAAGAACAGACTTTTTGGTGATGCATCTGTAATCCCAGCTACTCAGGAGGCTGAGGCAGGAGGATTGTACGTTCCAGACCAGTCTGATCAAATTAGCGAGACCCTGTCTCAAAATAAGATTTTAAAAAGGGACTGAGGTTGTAGCTTAGTGATAAAGCACTTGCCTAGTATGCATAAGGCCTTGGATTCAATCCCCAGTCTTGAAAAAAGAAAAGGAAGGAGGGAAGGAAGGAAGAAAGGAAGGAAGCAAAGAGGCAGCCCCCAAAAAGGAGTCCCCAACAGTCTGTGATTCCCTGTTTGCCTGTTCAATAGGAATTTTGAAAATACAGCAGAAGCTCCTAGGAAAGTCTTTGAAGAAATATCGATCAGATTTAGAAACTGAAGTGTCTGAAGTTCCAACCAAAGTCTTCCTGATCCTTAAAAATTCAGATCCACCTCCCTCCACAGCTCTTCCCCAAATATACCAGCAGGTGGCGCCACTACCAGGGATTTCAAAACCAAAACCAAACAAAGTGGAAACTCAGATTTTTTTTTTTTTTTTTTTTTTTTTTGCTTATGCAAATAGTTCATTCCCTACAACATTCCTCCGGGAATGGTCCCCCCTCCACCTCCACAATCATTCCCTCCCCCTTCCCTCCTCTGCACAACTGCTGTCTCCCTCAACACACCGTGCATCAAGACGCTGTCAGGAGAGCTGAGGACCCAAACACAAACGGGCCTTGAGAAATGTGAGTAAGGCTAATGGGCACTAAGTTGGGAGGGAGAAGCTTGGGCAGAGGAGGCAAGCCTGTATCCAGATTTATTCAGGGAGACAGAAACACCCTTCCCCACTTGTATACCTCATCTATCCCAATGCACACATGCATGTACACACATGAACACATACCCTTGTCCCTCCTCTAGAGACCAGAGGAGTCCTTACATTTGTAAGCCAATATGATCCTCCCCTTCTTTTGATTTTGGGATCATTGAGATCTTCCCAGGAGGAGGATCCCCCATGTGTGTTTCTCAGACTCCATGAAGGGTTGCTCCCAGAGGCCTTTGCTGAACCTTTGGGAGTCCTTTAAGAGAGCCAGGTTTGGAAACTCTCACCCTCAATGGACTGGTCCCAAGCCAGCCTTATTCCGGGAAGAGAAGGGGATGGAGGGGGCAGGGCAGGGGAGAAGGCTGGGGAGGGAGCACGATGAGAATGTGGTGACCTCTGGACTGGACACTGCCCTGGGAGGGATGCAACAGCTACCAAGGCCAGGGCCCCTGCCCCACCCACCCCACCAAGAGCATCTCTATTATGTCTAGAAATGGACAGAGGGGATAAGGCAGAGAAATATGGCCATCCTGTCCCCCACCCCAGCCAATGCCTAAATAGCAAGGGTGCTGCACCCCTCCACCTCCACAGACACCCTTTTCCTTTTTGGCAGGTGGCTCTTCTTCCTCTTGGTGTCAGCCCTGTTCTGCAGGGCAGGAGTCTCCACCCCCATCCCTCAGAAGCTTTTTGGGGAAGTTACTTCCCCTCTGTACCCC